GGGGGTCTCACTCTTGCTCAGGCTGGTTTCGAACTCCTGACCTTGAGCGATGATCCACCAGCTTTGGCCTCCCAGAGTGCTAGGATTACAGGCATGAGCCACTGCGCCCAACTCTCCTGCATTGTTGTCTCATTTCCCATCACTCCTGCTTTATGTGAGCCGTAGCTGTATTAGAAAGAATCGTGCTCAGTATCACCCACTTTTAGCTTGCATTGCAGTCATAGCTGCTCTGGCATGGTTCCTTTCTTATAAACAATTTTTTTAAATCATTGTTTTAAAAAGTAACTTCTCAGTTTTGTGTTATGTTTATGAAGACTTCCTGTGGTCTGATATTATAAAATAAAATTTTCCCACATTTTATTCTAGGAATTCTATGCTTTCATTTTTTTGTTGTTGTTGAAATATTTTCCCATCTGGAGTTTATTTTGGTATGAAGTTAGAGAAATAATTTAATTTTTTTCAGAGGGCTAATGAGCTGTGGCAGTACTATTTTTTGAATAACTTTCTCGCTCCTAATTTTGAAAGAGCCTTTATCAAAAAACAGAAACTCTTTGAGCTGTCTCTTGCTGTATGGAAATTTTAAATGTTTACTTAGTCAAATCTGTTGTTTTTTTTTTTTTTTTAAAACAGGAGTCTTATTTTATCTGAAGAGCTAGAACTTAGACTTATTCTGAGTAATTCTACAGGTGAGAAGTAGGACAAACGCCTGGAAGTTACAGTGAGACACCCTTTAGTTCAATATAACATGGACCTATCTAATAACTAAACCTACCCATATATAAACTCTCTCACAAAATATTGATTTCCCCCGAATCTGTTAATTTTCATCTCTGTGGATTCTGGATTTTATGTGATGCCCAAACTGCCTCCACTCTCTTTTAACCTTAAAATTGTTTATGTTCTCCTATATTGTCTCTGTTTTCCTGTAGGTTCTGCTAAACATTTTAGATCAATATAGGCAAAAAGAATATGTATCCCCTCGTGTTCTCCAGCAAGCATTTAATTATCTCAACCAAGGGATTGTTCATTCTGTCACCTGGAAGCAGATGAAGCCTCACATCCAGGTTAGTGTCAGGGGGCAGTTCTCTCTGGTTAAATTAGATTTTCCTAACTTACTAGACAAAGTAAGTGTTACTAATCCTATATTTTATAGTTAATATTTTTATTTCCATTAATAATTTCTAATGGGTATAGTCTTGCATCTGATATGAGGGGCTTGGAAATTTAAGCATTTGAGAAGAGTGAGGCCTGCAAGTTTTATGCGTTGGAAGACTTGGATTCAGGTGATTTTGTTAGAAATTTTGTTTAGCTTCAGTTTCTCCTCCATGAAGGCAGATAATGTTTTTCTACCCTTCTTATCTAAAGGTTGCTGGGATCAAATGAGGTATTTAGTGTAAAAGCCTTTTGAAAATTGTTACCAGGGATCTACTAAGGTAGGGTTATTTTGCAGGAAATGAAGCTTCATTTGTGACCATTTTCTTTCATAGGTATGAGCAAGAAAGGTTTTGGTTTCTTTTTTTGGATCTGTTAACTTCTATAGCAGAAGTTTTCTGTTTTTTAATCAATTGTTTACCTAAAGTAGAATTCATCATTGTTATTTAATTAAAGAACAAATGAGAATGGAAAATTATGGGCCATTAATAAATGAATTCCTATTTGCATACAGATAACTTTGGGTAATTCAAAAACTTTAGGAACTGAATCCTATCCTCCTTCAGACCTTGAGTTCTTAAAATCTGTAAACAGTATCTGAAAAGAAAATTAAATTCTTTCAGTTTGCCTTTGGTGTCCAGGATAGAATTTGTTTTTTATTTTTTTTATTTTAGCGTATTATGGGGGTACAAGTGTTAAGGTTACTTATATTGCCCATGTCCCCCTCCCCCCTCGGGTAAGAGCTTCAAGCATGTCCACAGGATAGAATTTGTTTAGTGTCATTTTATTACAGTTCTTATTAATATAGTATCTTTTCCTTATGTGTATATCTTAATAACTGTTTGCCTAATCACTTCGATCAAATAGTGATAATTTCTTTGCAACTAATAAAGATACTGATTTCATTTTATTTACTGTGTTCCTGTAAAGTAAGTGTGAGTGGTGAGTGGTGATAGTGTTTCTTCTCTGCTTGATACTTTTGGCTTTATTTTTACATGGCTGTAAAGTAGGAATAAGAAAACTGATCCTTGGACTGAATTTTTTTCTCCAAGACTTAATTAATGTGGAATAAATGATAAGAGATGATCCTGGTTTTACATAAGTGGTTGTTAAAGAACAGAAGGGCTTAATAGAGCATTAGCAGCAACGTACAGAGATGCTAGAAGATGAAATTTTTTTTCCCATTGAAACCAGTATTTATAGAGTAGGAAACTGGTTTTTCGAAAATGGAAGAAGAAAACTTTAATGTAGTTAATACATTTCCATTTAGGACCAAAATGAAAATGTTGAAAAATTTCAAAATAAGAAATATGATAGTGTAATAACCTTGGCTTGACATTTTCCTTCCTTAAAGAATCAAAGTATTTTTCATAATGATTTGTTAATGAAACTTTATTATCCCTGTTGTTGCTTCAAAGAATAGCATGTACGTTTGTCTCTTTCTCCTTTAATCACTGGTTTAAAAGCAATCTTAATGTTTAATTCTTCAACTCCAACCCCTTCTCAAGGGCTCTTTCCTGCTTTCCCCTTAGGGAATGCATGCTTAAAAGAAAGATTAATATAACAGTTTGGAAAACTAACATCATAAAGGCTGTCAATAAATACATTTTTGGTATTCCTGAAACTTGAATAGCTTATACCCATTTGTTGTTTTTTTTTTTTTTTCTCATCTTAGAATATATCCGAAGATGTGATTTTTTCTGTGATGTGTTATAAAGATGAGGATGAAGAGCTGTGGCAAGATGATCCATATGAGTATATAAGGATGAAATTTGGTAATTGGGATGGCTTTATTGCTCATCATTTCCTGGATATATAAAGTAATATAACTAAATTTATATTTTTAAGTAGATTTTATTACTTTGTTAAATCGCTAAATTTCAACTTTGCATGATCAACTCCGAAAACTAGTGAGAGTTTGTTCTATCGAACCAGGGAACTTGAGGCCGTTGGGTGTGGGAGATGAGAAGCCACCTTATTCATCTCTCATGTGTGCCTGAGTACTCACAGAACCATCTGTTAGTTATGTTCTTGAGATGCTGACCTGCAGGGACCCTTTCTGTGCCCTTTGGAGTATCCATTTATAGATAGGCTTGTTCTCACTCTGGGAGATCCTTAGAATTTCAGCGTATTTTAGGAGCACTCTGATGTGGTTTGCCTCCTTATGCTAGGGACTAACTATTCCACAAGGGAATTAAATTACATATAGTGGTCCCATTATGTGTGGCCCAGTTCTTTTATTAATAGTTTGGACCTTCTAGAAACTGTTGAACTGTGCAGGTTGCCTGAGTCATTCTCTTGTATCCCCAATTTATATTATTCTTCTCATGGAATACTCAAGCAATTAGCATGGCAAAATGTTAGTTTGAGTACCTCTGTCTCTCCTTCCACTTAGAAGCTTTCTTTCTGAGGGCAGGCATTTTATTTATTTGCTTTATTTTGTATTCTTTATCCCTTCTATACCTCTGCATTCCTCTACTATTATTAGGCCCCTAATATGTCTTCAGTAAATGTTGAAATAAGTAATTACTAAAACTAAGGCATGCTGATTGTGTTTTGACAGTGCAGTGCTTTCCCTTTATTGAGCTAAGTGTCTCTAGCTACTTGAGTTAAATCTACTGGTAGGACGGTAGATTATCGGGCAATATTGTTTTTACAGTGCTTTCTGTTTTGTATTATTTGATTCAGTAAGTGAGGAGGTGCCTCTTTTGGAGACAAAGTACGAGAGCAAATGAATGAGAGGCAACGTTTACCATGTGCTTTATTTCTCCATTCTACCACTGTCTTTTGAAAATCATTACTCATATACATAATTTATTATTCCTATTTATTTATTTATTTATTTATTTATTTCAGGAAATTATGAGAGTACAAACATATTGGTTCCATTTTATATCTTTGCCTCTCCCTAGCAAGGGTTAGAGGCATGCCCTTCCTCTCTACAATGTTCACAGTGTCCTTTAGTTGTGAGCTTACACTCCCCAAACCCCTAATCCCTTATTTCTCCTTTCTTATGCCCTTGTTTTCCTAGTTTGCTTTGACAGAGCAGATTAGCCAATCTTTCTTTTATTTTCTTTAAGGCATTTGTTTAGCATTTACCTTTTCTATAATATCTATGTGTTTTTGTAATGTACACGGTATTTGTTTAGCTTTCAGAAAGCTACCGTTATTTCATATGTTCTTTATATCTGGTATGTATAAGTATCTCAGTTTTTAGAAAATATAGCAAGAACTGGGCTGGGTGTGGTGGCTCATGCCTGTAATCCTAGCATTCTGGGAGGCTGAGGCTGGTGGATTGCTCAAGGTCAGGAGTTCGAAACCAGCCTGACCAAGAGTGAGACCCGTCTCTACTAAAAAAAAAAAAAAAATAGAAAGAAATTAATTGGCCAACTAAAAATATATAGAAAAATTAGCCGGGGATGGTGCCACATGCCTGTAGTCACAGCTACTCGAGAGGCTGAGGCAGCAGGATTACTTGAGCCCAGGAGTTTGAGGTTGCTGTGAGCTAGGCTGACACCATGGCACTCACTCTAGCCTGGGCAACAAAGCAAGACTCTGTCTCAAAAAAAAAAAAAAAGAAAATATAGCAAGAACTGTGTGTGTGTTAACAGTGGGAATTTACATTTTATTGATTAGGAGAGAATATGGGTAAATCAAGATTAGCAGAAGTACTGTTTTTTTAAAAATAATTTCTTTCTGTGGGCTAGGACACAGTAGCTTTTAATGTGTATTTTACTTTTGGGTAACTATAAGGAAGAACAATTACTATATTTTATTTTTGTCACTTGTAGTTATTTATGTGAACAAACCATTTCTATCTAAATTTATTGACATTAATGTTTTTATCATGTTTCTTTTTATTATACCCTTTAACCAACATCTCCCCATTTTCCTTAATATTATAATGCCTTTAGATTTGGTAAAAGCTAAAAGGAGCTTAGATTTTGATGTTAGGACAACCTGGGTGTGAATGTTGGCTTTGTTGCTTACCTGTCATGTAACCTCTCTAAGAGGCAATAAAATGGATAATGATATTAGTCCTGAGAGGACTAGATGGGATAATACACATGAACTGCTTAGCATAGAATACTAGGTATTTAACAGTACTCAAAAGTTAGTTATTAGTATTTTATATTTTCAGGCAGACTTAGATTTGGTTTTACTTTTTATATTTAAACAAGGACATATCAGATATTCAGTTTCTTATATAAAACTTCAGTTTTATGTAAGACTGTTTTTCAGTTTCTTATATAAAATTTTCAGTTTCTTATATAAAACTTCAGTTTCTTATATAAAACTTCCTATTCTGAAGTTTGTGAGAACTTTTACAATATTAAGCGATATGAATACTTGCTGACTCCTGTCTATTGACAGAGCCAAGCACTGTCCCAGTAGTCCCTCAAGGCTTTCAGGCTTGCTGTTTCCTCTGCTCGGAGTACTTTATCCATGGATAGCTTTGTCCTTCATTTCGTTCAGTTTCTGGTTAAGTGTTATTTTAACAGAGAGTTGGAGAGGCTTTCCCTAACACCCTATTTAAACTAGCACCCCATACTCTGTCACTGTCTCCTTACCCTGTTTTACATCTGTTCTTATCCTAACCTATTGTGTGTGTGTATAATCTGTTTACTTTTTTCTCTCACCATGTAAGCTCCACGAGAACCTTTTTTTGTTGATCTTTGTATCCCCAGAGTCTAGAATAGTGCCTGGTACATAGTAAGCACTGAATAAGTGCTTTGTTGTTTTTCGATAGAGATAAAGCACTTTTCCTATCCTCAGCAAAACAGATATCTCTAGTGTGCTTTTTTAAAAAGTATGATTGTTTGAAAGGACAACATATAGAGTTTGATAAATAGTGTTGTGTATGAGAGCACTGGTGGTAGGTCCTTAGCTTTTAATGCTGTAAAACAATGTCATATATGGACTGTTTTATTTTTTGGTTTGGAATAGTGGTCAGTGAGGTTTAAAATCTGTAATAAGTAATTGTATTTTTACTAACATGATTTCACTTTTTAAAATCTTAGATATTTTTGAAGATTATGCTTCTCCCACCACAGCAGCCCAGACTCTATTATATACTGCTGCAAAAAAAAGGAAAGAGGTAGTTATTCTTTTTAAATTAAAAACTAAAAAGGTGGCCTATGTTGATTTAAAACTCTAATATACCCATAATATTTGAAAAACTATGTTATTAGTTATAACTTATCACTTTAAGATTTTTCTGTCCTAGTAAGGGAAAACGGGTTATATATCATTGGTTATTTTGTTTTCTTAATAAATTATACCTTTCTTATTGAGCTTATAGTTACTTGATAAAACACAATTATATGGCTTTATTTTTGGAAATTTGTGCATCATATTTACTTTAGTAGGGCAGTGAAAGTTCATGTAGACTAAAATGGATTCTTTTATTTCTTTAGGTGTTGCCAAAAATGATGGCATTCTGTTATCAAATCCTAACAGAGGCGAACTTTGACCCTAGGAAGAAAGATGGAGCCCTGCATGTGATTGGTTCCCTTGCTGAGATTTTATTAAAGGTTAAGATAATTAAAATTTAATTTATTTACCAAATCTGTGAAGCATAGGCAAGTGAAAGAATATGAAAGTTATGGGTATTAATTTAAAACTGGTGACTTTTGGAAAATTGATTATAAATATCCTTTCTGTCACCTATTTATTTAATTAAAAAGAAAATTTGACATTTTTAGTTTTTCAGTATGAAACTTGCTGTATAAAAAAGGACATGAAAGGACTTGTTTATTTCTATAAAAATCAATCAATATCAAATTGATCTAAGGTACTATTTCTGTCTTATTTTAAAACGTGCAATATGTAGGTTAAATGATTTTACAAAATTGTAATTAGAGGTATGTTAAATGCAAGTCATAATGAACTTTATTATAATGTAATTCTTACATATGAAAAAGACATTGATAAGTTGAAATTTAATTTCTTTTTCCTGACAGAAGAGTCTATTCAAGGACCAAATGGAGTTGTTTCTACAGAATCATGTATTTCCATTATTATTGTCTAACCTAGGATATCTTCGAGCTAGAGTAAGTTTTCCATATTTCTGTTGTGTCTTAAATCTTTACCTGCAAGATAATTATTGAAATAAATATTTTTGGATAAAGTGACCCTTTACAACATATTGAGATGAAATGGAGTCAATTAGAATGTCTGTTATGGTCACATCAGCTGAGTAAAGAACAAAGTAGTAGGGAAAGGGATTTTTGTGAATTTCTAACTCCAGCTGATTTCATTTGTCACACTTTTATCACTTGCTGCGTATGTGAAACAGTGAGAAGGTGATTTGAGAGCAATGCTACAATGTAAATTCATAAATAGATTCATTTTCAGTGTCTAAAATGGCACGAAATCCTACTTTGGCTAAAAAGTTGAATTTGTTTTCTGGTATATTAGGTAGATTTGCCTTAGTAATATGGAGAAAATAATATTCCATGTAAATTTACTTGTGTTCTAAGTGTATATTCTTTCTAGCATTGATCCATTTTTATGAAGAAACAAATAGAACTTTAATTCAAGAGCCTAGTATTTATCTTTATAAAAATATCAGCACAAAAAATGTCTTGCTAAAAACAACATATATTAATAATGCCTTGTACACTAGAAAGCATTTTAAAAACATAATAGTCACTAGAGAAATATTTGGGCAATTGTAGACTAGGGATGCTGAGGGCACATGAACATTTTTATAGTTGGGCTCCTACCTTGAGAAGCTGTGTGAATTGTAATGCTCTTCCAAAAATCTTCAGTAATTCAAATTTCTGTTGATTGTGTTTTATGCACATAGAGTATAGAATAAAGTAGTAATGATTCTGTGGTCTAATAGTTTAAAATTTGATAATCTGTAAAAGGTTTAAAATTCTTGTTACTTTCTGTGAGTGAAAAAAGGCAGTTTACTAAGCCAGTTAGTATAAGGGAAAATAATGTTTCATCTCAATGAGAAGATCAGCAAATGAATTTGAACTATTGATTAGGCATTGTTTTTACGTATAACAAATTGGTTATGAATTATAATATTTATTAAAAGCATAAATGGGATTGTTTCAGGGACATTTACATTTGATTTATTTTTTTCTTTCCTGTGAAAAATGTGATTGCATATGGGTAATTTAGAAGTAATGTAACTACCTTTCTTATAAAAAGAGTGGGGAAATCCAAGAAGTTAGAAACTAAGGCCAACATGTCACTGTCCAAAAACAAATGAACTTTTCTTGATAGAATTAGTAATATTTTACTAAGAAGTTCTTATGTATGTGACATTATCACAGAATGCCATACTTCTAATAGCTCCCTCCTTACTTTCTCTTTGTAGTCCTGCTGGGTACTTCACGCATTTAGTTCTTTGAAGTTTCATAATGAACTTAACTTAAGAAATGCAGTTGAATTAGCGAAGAAGAGCCTGATTGAAGATAAAGAGATGCCTGTCAAAGTTGAAGCTGCCCTTGCCCTTCAGTCCCTGATTTCTAACCAGATACTAGGTAAAGCTAAATATCTTCTAGACATTTTTTAAAACAATTCTTTTGAGATAGTCTTCTCAAATAATTTTGATTCTCTAAGAGTTCAGGCTTTGGAATTCTGAGCTTTTGCCCCCTGAGAATTTTATAGGAATTTAGTCTTCCCCTTTTTAAGAGTTCCGACTGATTTATGGTTTCCAGAAAAATTTTAGATTAGGAAACACATTAATAATTGTTGAGCAGTGGGGTAGACTGGGAATTGGGGCCTGGGCTCCTAAGTTGCCATGCAAACCTGGGAGAGTCACATGGTCTGTCAAGGCTTAGGTTTCTACATATTTAAATTTAGAGATTGGACTAGATGGCTTCAAGATTCCTTTCAATTCTAGGGTTCTATGATTCTGCTAGTTCTGAGAGTAGCAAGTAGTATTTCTAGTGAGTGAGAACACAGATATCTCATTTATTTTCACAGTGTTCTGTTCAAAGTTCATATAAACCTTTGGAAGTAAATTCAGCTTTATGAAGAACATAAAACCACCTTTATTCAACACTGTTTCAATGGGAGGAATGAATATCATATAGGGATATGTGGGGAGGGAGGGTAGGTAGAGATGGGTTGGGTCATGGATGTTCCCTATCAGTATTGGGCATAGTCTCTCTATGTGCATAATTTTTAAAACCTGTCATCAGGATGGATGTAACTAACATTCCTGCTCTCCAAGTCATGCTGATGATGGAGCATATGTATATTTAGAATTTCTTAGTGAGGGCTATTGGCATTTTGGGCAAGACAGTTTTTTTCCTGAGCAGAACTGCTTATCCTTATGTGGCTCATGGGAAAATTGATGTATTGGTGAGTATTATTTTGGTATGGCTTTGTAATTTATTCACCATAAAGCAAGTGTGTATCTAGAACCTTATCTGGGTATTGTCCTGTGTCACTTTACTTTGTGACCTAGTTAATTCCTTTCACAATCTCTGAGTAGCTAATTTTTACTAATTTTGTTTGTTTTATTGCAATAGCTAAGGAATATATGAAGCCATACGTGAGGCCTATTATGCAGGAGCTGTTGCATATTGTTAGAGAGACAGAAAATGATGATGTTACTAATGTGATCCAGAAGATGATATGTGAATACAGTCAAGAGGTAGCATCAATTGCTGTTGATATGACCCAACACTTGGTAAGACTGGGCAGAGTTTTCTGTCAGTTTGTATAGAAGCCTTGAGTAATCTAAGTAAATTAAAGTCCAAAATTTGGAATTCATTTTTGTTCGTACAGTCATGTGCTGCATGATGATGTTTTGGTCAAGGGCAGACTGCATATTAGATGATATTCCCATAAGATGATAATACCATATTTTTACTGTACCTTTTCTATGTTTTGATATGTTTAGACACACAAATACCTACCATTGTGTTACAGTTACCTACAGTATTTAGTACAGTGACATGCTGTACAGCTTTGTAGCCTAGGCATGTAGTAGGCTGTACTATGTAGGTTTGTCTAACTACACTCTATGATGATTGCACAAGGACAAAATTGCCTAATGAAGTGTTTCTCAAAACATATCCCTGTCATTAAGTGACGCAGGACTGTAACTAAAATATTAATATAAAAATGTTTGCTGTAATAATTCTGATATTTCTAGTTAATAGGCTTATATCTGATAATAGGCTTACATTTAGGATAATCTCTTTTCATCTACAATATTCTGAGATTTCATAATGATGTGCCTTCATGTGAGCCTTCTATAGTTTTACTTTGTGGGCTTTAAATCTGGAAACTCATTTCCTTCAGTTTGGGACGATTTCTTTGATAAATTTCTCCATGCTATTTTTTTCTGTTCAATATTTCCTGATACAGAGTCTATAATTTCCTTATGTTTTCTTCTGGTGTTTTCCATGTGTGTTCTTTTTGTTTCATTTTTCTAGATGATATCTTGACTTTCTAAACTTTATCACATTTTTCTTTTTAGTGTTACTTGGTTTCAGGTTTCCTAGATTTTTATTTTATTTGCTTAATGACAACCAGAAGTTAAATGTTAGCTATCTGGTTATAATAGCTAATATGTATTCCACTCTAGTGACTAGATGAGGAAAAATGGCTGTATTTAAAACATGACAGGTTCTGTCATTATAAGAAAATAGATGATTCAGTCAGCAAAGGGCAGAATTTGAAGTTTGAGCAATGCTGACATTTACATATGTGACAGTGCCCTTTTGCTGACTTTTATAATAGGGGGGTATAACAGTGATAATTGTTGAATATTTTAATGTTATTTTCATAGGCTGAGATATTTGGCAAAGTTCTTCAAAGTGATGAATATGAAGAAGTTGAAGACAAAACAGTAATGGCTATGGGAATTTTACACACCATTGATACTATCTTAACAGTTGTAGAAGATCATAAAGAGGTAAGACTTCTTTGTGTTTTATTATCATAATAGCAGGTAGCATTAACTGAAATTTATGTCATCAGTGGGCGTGAATTTTAAAGTCTTGACTTTTAGATTGCTACTTAATTAGGTTGCTAGGCTTTAAAAATTGCCCTCAGATTTTAAAGAAACATTAAAATGATTGAGGGGAAATAGTAAGTACATTATACTGTTTGTAATATTATAAATATTATAAAGTGTAGAGTGTATCTCTTTGTATTAAATTGAGTTCAGTTCTTTACATCTGCTATGTGCTAGGCTAGGTAGGTTTTGGGAGAATACCAAATTGAATAATACATGGGCCCTGCCTTCTGGGAACCCACAGTCTGGTCTTGTTGGAGAGTAACAGGCAGTCATTTAATCACAGTGGCAAGGATTAGGTAATAGAATAGAATTCTGATGTAAGAAATACTGTAATAAAGGAAGGGAATATGAGCAAGAGGTTAAAAACATCTTTCCTAAATTCCAGAATGGTATTAAGATAAGAATTTATACAAATATTTATCCAGTGCCTTCATATTCTTTTCCTGATGTGATCTTAGTAATGCCACTGTGAGATAGATAGAGCAGATACAGTAGTTTTTTTGCAGAAGTGGAAAACAAAGTTCAGGTAGGGTTCAAGGGACTTGCTTGTGGTCACAGAGCTAGTAAGTTGTACATTTGAGTTTGTAGTAAGATCATCTGACAATATCAGTTTATCCCCACTTAAAAACCTGTATCTCGGCTGGGCGCGGTGGCTCACGCCTGTAATCCTAGCACTCTGGGAGGCCGAGGTGGGTGGATTGCTCGAGATTGGGAGTTTGAAACCAGCCTGAGCAAGAGCGAGACCCTGGCTCTACTATAAATAAATAGAAAGAAATTAATTGGCCAACTAAAATATATAGAAAAAATTAGCCGAGCATGGTGGCGCATGCCTGTAGTCCCAGCTACTCAGGAGGCTGATCCACTAGTATTGCTTGAGCCCAGGAGTTTGAGGTTGCTGTGAGCTAGGCTGACGCCACAGTACTCACTGTAGCCTGGGCAACAAAGCAAGACTCTGTCTCAAAAAAATAAAAAAATAAAATAAAAAGAACCCTGTATATCTCCTTCCCAAGTATCACTCCTTAACTCAGAGTTTTGTTCATTACTTCTGCGAGCACAAGTTGACTTGTTCGGCACTGATGACAGCTCTTGTTTTATAAAGTGAAGACTTAGGAAGCAGGTGCCAGTTCTTTAAATAGCATTGTTAAACCTTGTAGCTGTTGGTTTATCCTGTGTTTACCACATACTGATGGAAAATCCCTAGGTTCTTAAAAATAGTTTGATATTCTTCTCCTGGACTGGTCTTCCTTCACCTAAAGGCCTTAATGTGAATTTTTTGTTTCCATATTCATTATTTTATTTCTGTGTCCTCCTGTGTTGAAACTGTATGGTCCTCTTGGTAACAATGAGATGTTTCAAATTAAATTACAACAACTATACTTAAGGGGTAGTTCTCTTACCTTATCTTTAGAACTTGTATTTTAAATTTGAAAAAGACCTTAGAAATCACCTCATCCAGTTTTCCTAAATGTGTTGGTGGTGTGGGGATTAGTAGAATGAGTGCAGAATTAGTTTGGAAACAGAACACCATTTTATCTTTTTGTTTTAATTTTTTACTCTTGACACTAAATTTATTTTGAATTTCAAATGATGTTAAAGGAGCGTGTGAACTTACTGTGATTGACAAGGAAGGTGTGGACTAAAATTGAGAAACACTAATCAAACCCAGCTTCCTTACCTACAGATGAAAAAACTTAAACCTTCAGCTAAATGGCTTTACCAAGGCCATGGATAATTAGAGCCCAAACCTGACCACCTGTCCTTTAATTTAGAACTCTGACTTAGTAAAAGCAAACTTTGAAAACATTATGTCCTTAAAAGGAAAAATCATGTATATGAATAAGTGTACAAAAACTTGATGTATGAAAAGCAAAATTGGAAATCTAAAATAGATACTTAAGCATATGCATTTTTGTTTAGTGGTTTTAATTTTTCAAACTGGGAAATTTTGGATCATTTGAACTTTAAAAGAGTAGTTTAAGCTGAATATTAGAATATGCTCCACAGTTAAAATAGGATATTTACATGAAAAGTGTAACCCATAATAGATTTTAATTTTTACTTGTTTAAAAATATTTAATACAAACATGTTGAAAAAATTCAAAAATACTCAGTGAAATTTCACCTTCTCACTCAGCTCCCCAACCATCTAATTTCCCTCTTAGGCAGTAGCTATTTTTACCAGGTTTGTTTTTTTTTTATCTATCCAGAGGTGTTTCTGTTGACATAAGCAAAAAGTGAGTGTGTATATTTTTATTTTATGAAAACAGTAGCATACTATCCACAATTTGTATCTGCCATTTTTTACTTAAGATGTCTTGGTAGACCTTTCATATCAGTCAATAAAATTATATTTGTAGTGGGTGCATAATATTCCCATGTATGATGTGTCAAGTTTATTTAACCATTCCCTGGTTAATGGATATAGTTTAACTATCCTTTGTTTAAACAGTCATTTGATTGTTAGTAGCCACAAACATTGTGGCAATGAGTGGCCTTTTACATGTCATTTTGTACTTGTAATAATATGTCTATAGAGTAAATCCTTGAAGTGAAATTGCTGAGTTGCAGGATATATGCCTGCCTTAGTTAGAAGGTTGTTGCTAACTTGTTCTTGACAGCATGTGCTAATTTACACTCCTCAAGTCAGTGTACAATAGGGTCTTCTTCCCAGCCCCATACTTTTTGAACATTGCTAGTCTGATAGGTCAAAAGTATTAATGTTGCACTTTGAATTTGTACTCTTATCATGTATTAACATGAACATCTTTTTATAAACATAGGCAAAGGTTATGAAAAAGATACATTTACATACATTGTATTTGTATTCCTTTTTTATAACCTTTGCCTATTCTGTTGATTTGTTGATTTCATGTATACAAGAATTCTTTTTATTTCTTCTAGCATTTTTTATGGTTTAATTCTTCACATTGAAATCTTTGATCCATTAGGAATTTATTTTGGTATAAAATATGAGGTAAGGAACTAAATTTAATTTGTAATTCTATTATGGATTTAACCCCCATTCCCATCATTAGTCTATTTTGAGAATTTCCTGATTATTCTTGCATGTTTAATTTTTCACGTGTACGTTAGAATTGTAAGTTGCCCTATCAGAAATGCCCTGTTGATATTTTTATTGGGATAATATTACATTTGTATTTTAAAGGTGATCATGATGAATTTTAAACTAAATATTTAAAATTTATCTTTAGATTACACAGCAGTTAGAGAATATCTGTCTACGGATCATTGATATTGTTTTACAGAAACACGTGATTGGTAAGTTCAAAGATTAAAATGGTGAATAGGAAAATCTGTTTTAATTTGATTAACACAGCATAATTTTAGCCCTTCAAATTTGACAAGATGGACAATTTTGAGAAAGAGAAACTTACATTCTCTTCTGTTTTTGATATCTTTAATGCTAGATAGATATTTTTTCATTCACAGATAAACTTATATCCAGTTAAGAACTTTCTTTTTCTTTTTTTTTTTTTTGAGACAGAGTCTCACTTTGTTGCCTGGGCTAGAGTGCTGTGGTGTCAGCCTAGCTCACAGCAACCTCAAACTCCTGGGCTCAAGCGATCTTCCTGCCTCAGCCTCCTGAGTAACTGGGACTACAGGCATGTGCCACCATGCCCAGCTAATTTTTTATATATATATTTTTTTAGTTGTCCAGCTAATTTCTTTCTATTTTTAGTAGAGACAGCATCTCGCTCTTACTGAGGCTGGTCTCAAACTCCTGACCTCTAGCGATCCTCCCGCCTCGGCCTCCCAGAGTGCTAAGATAACAACAGGTGTGAGCCACTGTGCCTGGCCCAGTTAAGAATTTTTGATCTTGGAATTTTTGAAGGACAGAATTTAAAATGAAGAAATGGGATAAGGGTTAGGTGAAGTTACTTTAATCTGTGATTGAGCCAGATGTAGTGACTCAAGTCTGTAATCCCAGCAAGTGGGGAGGCTGAGGCAGGAGGATCACTTGAGGCTAGGAGTTCGAGACCAGCCTGGACAAACCTAGTGAGATCCTCATCTCTTTAAAAAAAGAAATGTTGCCCAGGCTGGCCTCGAACTTCTGGTCTCAAGTGATGCTCCTGCCTTGGCCTGCCAAGGTGCTAGGATTATAGATGTGAGCCACTGCCCTTTAGCCCCTTTCATCTTTTTGATAATAGCCACACTAAAAGGTGTGAGATAGATTCTTATTTTGGTTTTAGTTTGTATTTCCCTGATGATTAGTGATGTTGAACATTTTTTTCATGTACCTGCTGGTCATTTGTATGTTGTCTTCTGTGAAATGTCTGTTCAGGCCCTTTTCCCATTTTTAAATTGGGTTATTTGTTTTCTTTCTATTGAGTGGTTTGAGTTTCTTATATGTTTTGGATATTAACCATTTATCAGATACATGGTTTGCAAATATTTTCTCCTGTTCTTTAGGTTGTCTTTTCATTTTGTTGATTATTTCCTTTGCTGTGCAAAGCTTTTTAGTTTTATATAATCCTATTTGTCTGATTTGCTTTTGTTATCTGTGCCTTTGGGGTCATTTCCATGAAAAAAATCATTCCCCAAGAACAATGTTATAGAGCTTTTCCTCTATGTTTTCTTCTAGTAGTTTTATAATTTCAGGTCTTAAAGTTTAAGTATTTAATCCATTTTGAGTAGATTTTTCTATATGATATAAGATGAGTGTCTAATTTCCTCAGCATATGGATATCCAATTTTTCCAGCACCATTTATTGAAAAGACTGTCTTTTCTTCATTGTGTTTTTTTGACATCTTTGTCAAAAATCAGTTGACCATAACTTTTGGGCTTTCTATTCTGTTCCATTAGTCTTTGTGTCTGTTTTTATACCAGTACCATGGTAGAACTTTCAGAAATCCTATATTTAGATAATTTGTTATTTTCAAGTGATTATCTTTTTTTTTAAATGAATGCTTCACAAATTTGCATGTCATCCTTGCACAGAGACCATGCTAATCTTCTCTGTATCGTTCCAATTTTAGTATATGTGCTGCCGAAGCGAACACTCAAGTGATTATCTTAAATTATTTCCCAATATCTGTAATTTCCATCTCATTTTGGTTCAGTAAGGGAAGTGTCTGTACTACTGGCTTTTAAATATATTAAGTCTTAATGTTAGAGAGAAAAAAAAACTTTAATCAAGTTTCCAGGGTGAGTGTTAGTATCCTCTTTTTATAAGAGGAAAAAAAGAAAAAAACCTTTCAAGTTAGACTTCTTTGCTCAGTGACATGATAGGAATTATTAAATACTTGAAATTTTTGTAATAAGGTTTATGTTTTCTGATTATATGTATAGATATAATTACTGTTGGCTGAGGGTAAGGATAATATATATGAGAATATAAGAACATTTCCTTTGGATTCTTATCCTCTATAGTGGGTATAATTGCTTTGAGTAGCACTCTACAAATTTTACAAGTTTTGTAAATTGACAGAATATTGCACAGTATATAGTTGTTTGTAAAATATAAATTTGAGACAGGCAGATATTTTAGCCCAGTGTAATTAAGCTCTCTGAAGAATATTTTTAATTATTTGTAAATTTTAAGTCTTCTACATGAGAGAGGTATGATGATCTCCCTTCCTTCTTGTATCCATTTCTAATAGTTTTATAAATATAAACTACATAGTATGTATTATAAAGTTGAAAAAATTCTGTGTTTTCATTAGTGTAAAAGTTTAGTAAAACAAATTTCTGCCTTGCCTTGAATAGAGGGCAGATCTTGGTAAGAAATGGAAGGTGCCATAAATGTAACTTAAGATGTAATTGCTGAGAGAGGGAGGCTTATAAGTACATTAGATATAGGAGGACTGTGTGTGAGTGTATAGTCTAAACCCTCCTGTGTGTTTAATTTTTGCTATTTCCCAGAATTCTAACTAGACATTTTCTTCTTTCTAGAATTCTACGAAGAGATTCTTTCACTGGCATATAGCTTAACCTGCCACAGCATCTCCCCTCATATGTGGCAGCTTCTATCTATATTATATGAAGTTTTTCAACAGGATTGCTTTGAATACTTTACAGGTATGGCTTTGACCATGTAACCTTTTTGCTTTTCTGTATCTAGATATTGCTTCCATTGACACCTGAAATAGAAACATGTGTGATTCTAGTACTGATCAGAAAATGTTCTTATTTCTCTGTTAAGTAAAGAGTAGAGCTATCCTAGTAATGTTTTTCAGCCCTAGGTATATAGGCAGAAGAATCGGTCATATTTATTTTTTTTATTGTATCTCAAGTTACCTTATAGCCAGAGCATGTATCCATACGTTAATTCAATAAATATTTTCCGAATACAATTCCAAGCACTATTCTGAGTTCAGCAATACAGCAGTGGACCCAATACCCCTTGCCCTCTTAAGCTACTACAGTCTAGTGTGGGGGAGGAAGGGGAGAGCAGGGAAAACACTCAGACAAACGAGCAACAAGATATAAAGTATGTCAGATGGTGATGGGTACAGTGAAGAAAGGGAAAACATTCAGAAGAATTACTGCAATAAATGGTGAGCATTTTGAACTTTCTGAACCTCATCTTCCTCCTCTGTAACTAGGCAGATTTGTCACTTTCGTTTCTAGCATTTTGTGGTCGCAAGGGAAGATAGTAATGTGTGGGGGCTGCAGAGATGTGGTTTCAGCAGGAATAAGTTATTTCTACTCCTGTTACTCAAGTCTCACTGGGATTTTGAATTTGTCTTTTTCAGACATGATGCCTCTCCTGCATAATTATGTGACAATAGATACAGATACCTTACTGTCAAATCCAAAGTATTTAGAAATTCTTTTCACGATGTGTAGAAAGGTAAGCATGTCCTGATCAATTGTTGCAGTGGTTCTTACCACTTACTCAAATATTTGAGTATTTTATTTCGAGACACTTTTTCAGTTTGTTTATTAAACATTTACTTCTGTTTTATCTTCATTATCTTCATCAACATGTATTTGTCCTTTTGTGTTTTCAAAAGGAGCTTGGAAATGTTGTAATTTGAAAGTTTTCTGTTGTGTGTTGTGCTTAAGAATGTTCATCATTTTTATATCTGTGTACTTTATAATTTTCAGGGTAAATGCTTTGTATTTTTTTCCTTTCAAAAATATAAACTTGCTACTTTATTCAAGAAAAGTGCCAGAAAAATTAACCACACAGTTTGTCAATCAGTGACAGAATGGCACTGATCTTTTTTTCTACTAATTGAATGTATATTTTGAAAGGTACTAGAAGTAGGTAATTTGAACATAAGCAATATAAGATAAAAATTGTAATAGTTTGGAAAACATCATTTAGCTCAATACATGATAATTTGTAATCCATATAATGGCTACTGTTATATTTACGCACAAATGACCATCTACTGTGTTGTATTTGCCACAAGTTAGATTTGGCCTTGTATTGGTTATAGCTTGGAATCTTTGATGCCTAAATAACTTTTTCCTTCTTTAGTTAAATATATGTATATACATAAATATAAAACTATATTGCATAAAGCTGGCAAGCAGATTTTAGAAAGCTCAAATAGCCAGAAATTAAAACATTTGGCTTTGGAGTTAGGAATAAAATAGCTAGTGTACAACCCAGTTTTTTCAATAGAAGAAGAGTGTGTGAGGATCTGGTAAGAGCTCTGAACTGATAATTAGTATATCTGGTTTAGGTCCAGTTCAGTTATAAAGAACCTGGGAAATTTTGGTAAATCAATAAGCTGCTCCAAGTATAAACTTAAGGGGTTGACTTATGATTTTTCATGACTCATTTAGCTCTGTGATAACACATCTTGTTAGATCATAATCATCTGTCAATCTTCAGTTTTTCCCTAAGTTACAGAAATAGCTTATAGTGAGGGGGGGAAAGAAAGCAACAAGTAGGAAACATAGCAGTCGTATGTATTCCATTAGTAATTCAGAGCTGCTCTGAATGATAACAGAGTAAATTGATATTCACAATAATGTCCTTATATTTATCAAGTAGTTCAAATATATTTCATATTCCTGGTTTTAATACTAGTTAGTATTTATTGAATTTTTATTGTATACCAGGTGTTTCCTAAGCACTTATTATTTAATCTTTATGACATTATAAGGAAAGTATCCCATTTTAATCAGTGAGGAAACTGAGGCATAATTTCTTGCCCTGTGCCTGAGACTTAGTAAATTGTTCTAAGTCCCATAGCTACTATGTACTGGAGCCAGATTTGAACCCAAGTAGTCTGGCTCCAGAGCCCATTTTTAAAATTATAAGATATATCTTTTCCTTTTAGCAAACAAAAACAAAACAAAAACCTCAAGTAAATGCAAGTTTGGGGAAAAGGGAGTGATTATTTTTCTTTCTGTATCAGACAATCCCATGAGGTGGGTACAGTTATTCTCATTTTATTGATAGGGACAGAAAAAGACAGAGGTTAAGTAGCTTTTCTAAAAACGTAGCTAATAAGTGGCAGAGCTGTGATTTGAATGAAGACATTCTCGTTCCAGAGCCCATTCTCATTTAGAAAGTGGATTATGATATACTGCTCTAGAGAGAGAATTTTAAATTTATATAAATAGGGTTGATTTTTGGCTTTGCTCATTGTCTGATTATGATTTAACTCACTGTTTTCCTATTTCCAATTTTTTTTTTTTTTTAAAGAGACAAGGTCTTGTTCTGTCACCCAGGCTAGAGTACAATGGCATGATCATAGGTCACTGTAACCTTCAAACTCCTGGGCTCAAGTGATCCTCCCACCTCAGCCTCCTGAGTTGGGACTATAGGCATGTGCCACCATGCCTGGCTGATTTTTATTATCTTTTGTAGATCCTGGGTCTCGCTATGTTTCCCAGGCTGGTCTTGAACTCCTGACCTCAAGCAATTCTTCTACTGCGGCTTCCCAAAGTGCTCAGCCACCACGCCTGGCCACATTTCCAAACTTTTTATTGTATCTCTTTCCTTTTCCCTGTCTTTGTATGTGTGTGTCTTTAAAATCTCTTTACTGTCATTTTGATGGCTTTTTGGGAGAGAATGAGATTAATGAATCAATCTTTATTTGGAATTTCTTTTTAATTCAGTTTTCTTAAATTATACTTTTCTAGGAAATTATCTAATGCATCTAAAATTCCAAATATATAAAGAACAGTGTTCTTCATAGTAGTCTCTTCTTTATTTTATTTTTATTTATTTATTTTTTGGAATAAATACATTTATTGATGCCCATTTTATATATAGTTCAATGAAATAATCTATAAAAGCATTTTTCTTTTGGATATCACCATGGTCCATGTAAATACTCAACAGTCAGAGTCACCTGCAGGAACCACTCCAAGCCACACTGTTAGGTTTACAGACCTGAATATACATGTGCATTAAACGGTGGCACTTATGTACTCAAGTGGTCCAGTGGCTTTAGAATATATGACTACTGGACATGCGGAATAAAAATAATGTGTAAGTTAAATCAATGGAAAGGGTATCAACCATCAACAAAAAGCAACAATTATGAATTAATGTCCTCGGCAAAGAAAGTACCACAGCTGACACTTGGTGTCAGAATACTGGAGACAAAGGATGTAAAACAACACATTGTTGTGACACCAGTGCTCTTTCCAATTCTCAGCGGACAATCCACCACTGCCTTAGGGCCATTCATGGTCAACAAATGGCAATAACGAATCCACATAGCTTACAATAAAAGGTATGCAGAGACTGATACCAAGATTAAAGAAAAGTGAGCTAAATACTTCAGTGACATAATGAGTTTCTCCCCTAGGAGGTGACTATGAGTAAAACATTTTTAAAAAGATTCTCTTTGTTACATTGAACACAATCATTTATCTAATGCAGGAGAAAGAGCCCAGACATTTGGTACTCAAAACACATGTGTGAAAATTTCCTTTTGTTTCAAAGTTTTTCCTTAACATTTCCAAGGGAACTAATACAGCCACTGTTGAGCCTTGCTGTCCACCTGATGCAGCATAAAATTTTCTCTTATTTCTTCAATAACAAATACAGGAATGTCTTTTGCTGCAGTCAGACTTATGTGTCTTCTGAGTTAGCAAGCAAACAGTCTTCTTTATTTAAAAAAATTTTTTTTTTGGCCGGGCGCTGTGGCTCACGCCTGTAATCCTAGCTCTTGGGAGGCCGAGGCGGGCGGATTGCTCAAGGTCAGGAGTTCAAAACCAGCCTGAGCAAGAGCGAGACCCCGTCTCTACTATAAATAGAAAGAAATTAATTGGCCAACTGATATATATATATAAAAAAATTAGCCGGGCATGGTGGCGCATGCCTGTAGTCCCAGCTACTCGGGAGGCTGAGGCAGAAGGATCACTCGAGCCCAGGAGTTTGAGGTTGCTGTGAGCTAGGCTGACGCCACGGCACTCACTCTAGCCTGGACAACAAAGCGAGACTCTGTCTCAAAAAAAAAAAAAAAAAAAAAAAAAATTTTTTTTTAAGAGAGGAGGTCTCACTGTGTCGCCCAGGCTGGAGTGCAGTGGCCCAATCATATAAGAGCTCACTGCAGCCTCACGCTCCTGGGCTCAAGTGATCCTTCCACCTCAGCCTCCTGAGTAGCTGGGACTGTAGGTGTGAGCCACTGCATCTGGCTTTATTCTCTTATTTGTAATCTCTCTTTTGTCTGTATTTATTTCTCTTTCATACCTAATATTTAAAAATTTTGCTCGTTTTGCTTTGCAAAAATTTTGGCTAAAGTTATCTACTTTAAGTCTCTTTTCAATCAATCTGCTTTTGGTTTCTCTCTGTTACCTCCTTTTGTCTATGTTTTAAGTTTCTGCTTTCACATTTATTTCTTTGGGTTGTCTCTTTTTATTATACCTTGTGTTTGGATCCTTAATTTATTAATTTTCCCATCTTTTTAACATAAGCATGTTCTACTCTAAGAACCTTTCTTTTGGGAATCTTATAAGGCAATCATGTTCCAAATCTTACATATGAACATGTGCATTGTAGAATTGTTTATAATAGTGAAAATACAAAATTGTCAATAGAGGAACCAGTCTGGTAACTTTGTTATATTAATCTGCTGTCATATTGTATAGTCCTAAATCCATGGAAAATATTTCTAATTGTGAAGTTCATGTGGGGAAATGGAAAAGTGTGTAATATCCTATTATGGTTATTATGAAAAAATAGGTACATATGGACAAGAATTCAAAAGAAACAAAAATTAAAGAATTTCATTGTTTAAAAAGGAAGTTGTTTTATTCTATTTGGATTTCATTTTATTGTTTTGGTGCCTTGAAAGGGAAGCTTCATTTATCTGGACAATTAAATCACATAGCCTACTTCATTAATCTAAAGTCAAATAAGTGAATAGAATAGATAGAGAAGATAGATGGACTTCATTTTGACCTTCCTTCTTTGGGTTGGCAGGGTAAGCTTGCAAAGTAAGCAAAGCTGTATGATTCCTAAGACTGAATTTATATGGGATTTATGTGGCGTCGATTAAACTCCATGCAGAGTCACTCATTGCTGACTAAATTGTGATTACTTGCAGGTACTGTGTGGAGATGGAGGAGAAGATGCAGAATGCCATGCAGCCAAACTTCTTGAAGTCATCATTCTTCAGTGCAAAGGAAGGGGCATTGATCAGGTACTGTATGTCTGGAAAGCATCTTATATGCCTATAAGATGTTCACATTTGAAATTTACATGCCTGATTGGCATTTTGTTTATGTTACGACGAAAAATTGGAAAGGCAGCCTATAGTTTGTGCTTGCTGGTGCCAGTCCTATTTAAATGATAAAAACAGCCATGTAATTTGGAAATTGTACCACTTGTGTTATAGCTGAGAAAGGGATGCACAGAAAAATATGTAATATAAGAGGCTATCAATAAATTAATAAAAGAAATGATTCTTCTATTAATTAATAATAGAAATTAATAAAAGAAATAAATTCTACTCAAATTGGAGTCCTAGAGATTTATATGTTCCCTTTGTTTTTGTGCATGTTATTTAAATACCCTTAGGTACCTTTTCTAACCAGAAATTAAGATACTGTGAAAAAAAGGAAAGTTTCTCTTAACCTATTTAAAAAGTATAATGTTATACTTTATACTTTTTATAAGGTATAAATTTATAAATTTTCAACAAGATTAATTCCATTTTTGATGTTACTGTGGTATGATATATCTTTTTCTATCTTTTTACTTTCAACCTGTTTGTATCTTTGAGTCTAAAGTGTGTTTTATATAGTTGGATCTTAGTTTTTATCCAATCTGATATTCTGTACCTTTTGATTGTTTAATCCATTGATATTTATTATTACTACTGTTACACATTGATTTAGTCTGCCATTTTATTTCTGTATGTCTCATGGTTTTGTTCCCATATTCCTTTACTGCTTTTGAATTAAGTAAATATTTTTTGATGTCACATTTTAATTCCTTTAATTTTTTTCCACTATTTCTTTTGTTTTTCTTAGTGGCTGCTCTGTATTTTTTCACCATTTATTTTTGTTGTTTTTTTGTGATTTAACATATATTTTACCTTATTAGAATCTACTTCAGATTTATAGTAACTTAATTTTAGTGAGATACAGAAACATTACTCCTATATACTTATGTTCCCTCCTCCCCCTTTTTCATCATTATTGTACATATTACATTTGTATATATTACAAACCCAACAGTACATTGTTTATAATTATTACTTTTTGTAATTTTATGTCTTTTAAAGAAGCTGAGAAAAGAAAGGTGACAAATATTTATGGAGTATTTTATATTTACCCCCTTACTTACCATTTCTGGTTCTCTTTACTTGTTCCTATGGATTTGGGTTACCATCTGGTATCATTTTCTGATTGTGATACAACTTTGTTCCTACCTGTTTCGTATTGTTGATGTTGACTATATTACATTTCTCTATTTTATAGGCCCAACAATACAATTATAACATTACTGTTTTATGCAATTGATATTTAAAACAGTTAAGAGAAGGAAGTCAAAGAAATATTGTTTATATTTTCTTTTATAATTATACAAAGTTATAATTGCTCTTGTGTGTGTGTGTGTGTGTGTGTGTGTGTGTGGTGTGACTTTGAATTACCATCTGGGTCACTTGCATTCAGCCTGAAGAACTTCATTTAGTATTTCATTTAAGGCAGGTCTTCTAGTAATGGATTCTCTCAGTTTTTGTTTATCTGAAAATATCTTTACTTTACTTTCATTTTTGGAAGAGAATTCTGGTGGATCTTTGGTTGACAAATTTTTTTTCAGTACTTTGTACATGCCATCCCACTATCTTCTGGCTTTCGTTGTTTCTGATGGGAAATAATGATTAACACCTGTTAGTCTTATTGCAGTGTTTTTATTATGATGGATGTTTTTTTTGGTACTGTTATCCAGATTGTTTTTTCCCAGCATTTTTACTATAATGTGTTTGTGCATTTTCCCGAGCCTCTTAGATGTGTAGGTTGTTTTTTTTTTGTCAAATTTGGGAAGTTTTCAACTATTATGTCTTTGAATATTTTTTCTGTTTTCCTCTCTCTTGTACTCCCATTACATATATGTTGGTGTATTTAATTGTATTCTACATTTCTTTGGGACTTTGGTCATTCTTCATTCTCTTTTTTATCTCTGGTCTTTGGATTGCATAACTTTATCTATCTTCAAGTCTGCTAATTCTTCTGACAGATCAAATCTACTGTTGAACTCTTCTAGTGAATTTTTCATTTTGCTTATAACATTTAGTAAGTCCAGAATTTCCATTTGGTTCTTTTTTATGTCTGTCATTATTGATGTTTTATATTTGAGATATTGTCATCATAGCTTCATTTACTTTAACAATGGTTTCTTTTATTTTTTAAACATTTATAATGGCTGATTTGAAGTTTTCAAAGTCCATCTTTGAGTTTTATTCTGACTCCAGGAGGGATCTCGGCTGTCTCCTTCCTTGGTTGCTCCAGTGAACTGCTGGCCTATCTTTTTGCTGTCAATAGAGTAGCTATCAGCTTCCTCTTATTTGCTTTCCACCAAAACCTTAATTATTTTTGACAGTGACCTTCCCCATCAGCTTCATTGAGGTATAATTTACAGATAGAAATTTTATTTTATACATATCGTTTCAGCCCATCTTCTTTAATTGAAAGTAACGATCAGGAGATACTTTTAATAAAATTGGTTTATCGATATTGCAATTCAGAATTGGAGTCAGATGATTTTAATGTGGGGGATCCACCATTTTTTCTTCAGTCTTTTTCTTTTACTTATACCAAGAGGAATTTTCTTTCTCTAGGAACAATTTGATTACATCATACTTATTCTCAGTCCCATTTATTTATTTCCAATTTTATTTGCCAAAGAAAATGACATGCAGTCATTTTACCTTAAATGTGGAAGTGGCTGAGTCCACGTGTGGATTATTGCCACCATTTGTGTGTGGTGTCTCAGATCAATCTTCAACTAACTCTAATCTTCACTTAAAAAGGAAGAAGATTATCCGGCATTGCTGTAGGACTTCTTTTTGTCTATTTAATCTCTGTAGGTTTTATGAGGATATAAATCTTTTAAATGACTCAAATTATTTCAGTAAGCAGAAGTTTCATTGTCAATTAAGCCTGTCTTATTTATTGAAAACATTCTTTGCCAACATTCAGCTTTCTGTTAAGGTTACTTGGTTGCTGTCTATATGGTTGACTCTTTCTCTTTTTGTCCTCTAGTGCATTCCACTCTTCATTCAGCTTGTTTTGGAGAGATTAACTCGTGGGGTCAAAACTAGTGAGCTCCGTACTATGTGTCTTCAGGTTGCAATTGCTGCCTTGTACTACAATCCTGATTTGCTGCTACATACTTTAGAACGAATTCAGTTGCCTCACAACCCTGGACCTATCACTGTACAGTTTATAAATCAGTGGATGAATGATACAGATTGTTTTCTCGGGTATGTGTCTTTTGCATTTTACACTGCTTTTCTGTATCTGGGAAGTTTACTTTTTAATATATGCATATATTAGCATGTATAAAGATAATTTCCATATCTTAGAAATTATTTTTAGTGCGTTGATAGAATTAATTTTTAGAAAATTAAGACTGTATTTCCACAGTATAATCTAGTGGAAAGAATGCAGGCTCTGAAAATTAGATATAGTCCTTCCCCACTTATTTTTGACTTAATATGTGTCATATCTCTAGGCAACGAGAATTCGGTGTCCATCTGGGTTCCATGACTGTTAAGTGTCTGTGGGCAAAAAGATTCTAAATGGGGTCAGGATTCTTAGGAAGGTACCAGTCTGGCAAAGTAATAATGTAATATCCCAGGATGTTTAACTCTTTATAGATCTTAAGGGTGCCTGTTCCCAAATGTGGGGTCAGAAGGCTTGTTTGTTGTAGCCTGGGTGCTGCCCCAGGAGAACTGGCTTTTTGTGAAACACCCTCCTAGTTTTCAAACATAGGAAGAGTGAGGTCCCAACTAGTGGTTATGTGCCCACCTCAAGTCAACTAACACATATTAGTGATCATGTTATGATAGAATTTGAGCTAGATTACCGTCTAATTTATTTTGATTTAGTACGTCATCCTAAACAAGGCTAATATTCTGCTGATCCCGATGTATATATAGTTTGGCCTATTTAAATCTGGCAAATTTAGATTTAACTCTTAAACTTCTACATGAAATTTCGATTTTTAAAGTTTTAAAATTTTAAAGCCAGATGTGGTAGCATGCACCTGTAATCCCAACTACTGAGGAGTCTGAGGTAGGAGGATCACTTGAGCCCCGAAGTTAGAGGCTGCAATGAGCTGTGATGACACCATTGTACTCCACCCTGGATGCTAGAGTGAGATCCCATCCCTAAAAATTAATTTAGTTAATTTTAAAAGGGGCTCATATTAAGACTGCAAGGTTGTATTTTATAAAAATCATTTCAGCCCATCCTTTTTAACTGAAAATAACTATCAGAAAATACTTCTAATGAGTTCATCAATATTATAGTTTAGGAGTCTACTTGCTAGAAATAGTGTTCTTTTTAAGTTTTGTCAGATATCATTTAGAAATATTTGTCGAGAGGAATAGACTCCCAGCAGAAGGGATTAGGACACTGCTACGTGGGTGAGAGAAGATGGAAGTCTGGACTAAGATGATGGGATAGGAATGGAGGGGCATATTTACAAGCTGCTGTGTGTGTTCTAATTTTTCTACTTTCAGGCCACTGGAATCTGTCCCTACTGAGATTTGTTATTAAATCATTGAAGGGAAGAACACACTTTAAAAAGAACTTATGCTTATTAAAGGTATCTCTGACCAAGATTTAGGAAGTAGAGATTTGGTCATTCAAAATTGAGCAGTAGGCTAGGCGTGGTGGCTCACGCCTGTAATCCTAGCACTCTGGGAGGCCGAGGTGGCCGGATTGCTCGAGGTCAGGAGTTCGAAACCAGCCTGAGCAAGAGCGAGACCCCATCTCTACTATAAATAGAAAGAAATTAATTGGCCAAATAATATATATATCTATATATATATATAATTAGCCGGGCATGGTGGCACATGCCTGTAGTCCCAGATACTTAGGAGGCTGAGGCAGAAGGATTGCTTGAGCCCAGGAGTTTGAGGTTGCTGTGAGCTAGGCTGACGCCAGGGCACTCACTCTAGCCTGGGCAACAAAGCGAGACTCTGTCTCAAAAAAAACCAAAAACAACAAAGTTGAACAGTTGATATGATTATGTCCTTATTAGCATCTATAAGCAATTTGCCAAAGATAGAAAGGCTGTCTCTCCTAGCTGTTGCATAGACAGGCAATCCTTGGGTTGTGCTTCCTTGGAATCTTTACAGCCCCACTTGATAATCATCTTTTCTGCTGAGGTCCACTTGACATCTGGTGCGTACTACCAGTTAGGGGCTATGTGGATGAGAAAGCCCTCAGTCAAGTACAGCTCCTGTTATAGCATACTACTTGGGCATCAGTAACTTGAATGAATCAGAGAATGCAAATAATTGGAGAATAACAGAAGCTTGTACTATATTCGTTATTGGGTTTGTTCCATTATATTGCTCTCACTTTAAACAAATTGAGTCATGACTAGTGAATTTTTTGTTCATGTCTGCAATCTTAAGAGTGTTTTTACCAATACAGTAGTATTTTAATTCTTAATACTTTTAGTTTTAAACAATGGTGAACATTTAGTAGAAAAATATGTTTAATGTATATTGAACTTTTTTCTCCCTCAGAATTAAATTTTTCTTATCCTTAAATTTTCCTTATCTGTGTTATAGCAGAGGACTTTAATAGACTACTAACATTAAGTTCAACTTACTAAATGCTGAGTTTTTTGAAATAGCTTTTGGCATCCCGGGTTAGTGTAAAGTATATGTGCCAAGAAACCTTGTAGATCAGTCTAATGATTGAAATGTCTAAGAAACTCTTCATTTTCTTCCCATTGTATAGGAACGTTAGGCTGTGAAATACATATTTTAATAAAATATGTATTCCTGTTTTAATAAAACTCATTATGCCAAGGCTCATATATAGCATTTATAATAATCATAAATTAATGTTGCATTAAGATTCACCATGTTAATTGCAGAAGATATATAACTGGTTTACAAAATTTGATTTATGTAGAATTTCATATAGTACAAGATGAATGAACCTTGGAACACACCTCGGACATTTCTTTTTGTAGTTTCTCCAGAATTTGTCCTTTATTCCATTTCTCATGCTCATAATTTTTTTCCCCAAAATTTACAGGCATCATGACCGGAAGATGTGCATAATAGGACTGAGTATTCTTTTGGGATTGCAGAATCGACCTCCTGCGGTAGATGCTGTGGTGGGACAGATTGTTCCCTCAATTCTTTTCCTTTTCCTTGGCCTGAAGCAGGTCTGTGCCACTAGGCAACTGCTAAACCGGGAAGATCACTCAAAAGCAGACAAAGCTGATATGGAAGAAAATGGTAAAGTCTTCTTATTGCAATGAATGCTAGAATTGGTTTTGATTTGAGCATGCATTTTCTTTGAATATTTGTCTATTTGTGGAGTCATGAAACAGATTTACATTCTTTGGCCTGCTGTACATATAACAAATATTTTGGGCTTGGTTGACTTGATATTAATTATATCATGTGGCATAAACTTAGGTTTGTGCACCTTTTGACATTTAAAACTGTCAATCAGTTTTTACAGAGACTAGTAGACATTACACATTGGGAAATATTATTTGTAACAGAATCAAATGGTCTTGACTATGAGTTAGCAACCTAGTATTTCATTGTCTTCTTGTTTGTGCTGACACCTCAATGAAGGCAGCAGCCATGAGTTAAAACAAACCATTAGATTTTAAGAGCAGAGACTGGGCGCAGTGGCTCACGCCTGTAATCCTAGCACTTGGGAGGCCGATGCAGGCAGATCGTTTGAGCTCAGGAGTTTGAGACAGCCTGAGGCAAGAGCGAGACCCCATCTCTACTAAAAAAAAAAAAAAAAAATAGAAATTAGCTGGACAACTTAAAATGTGTGGAAGAAATTAGCCGGGCATGGTGGCATATACCTGTAGTCCCAGCTACTTGGGGGGTTGAAGCAGGAGGATCACCTGAGCCTAGGAGTTTGAGGTTGCTGTGAGCTAGGCTGACACCATGGCACTCTAGCCTGGGCAACAGAGTGAGACTCTGTCTCAAAAAAAAAAAAGATTAAGAACAGAAATATTAGTATAACAGATTAGTAGAGTGATTTTTTTTAAGTTCTTAGATGACCCATCACTAAAAATATTTGAGAGATGATATATATTTGTGATTTAAATATAAGTTAAGGGTAAAGTACTTAAATGAAAGGTGATTTGCTTAACTGAGTCAGAAAGAGATTGTCAGAGTCAAGAGTATTAGGCTTTTATTTTGTTTAATGATGAGATTGCAAAATTACTTGCTAAGGACCAGGAAGTAGCATTATCCAATTCCAAGTGGAGATCTTCCTCTTTTGGTTAAAAACAGACATTTTATTAGCTCAGAAAAATAAGAACTCTTCCTCAAAAACATACAACTCATTTTTGATGTTAAATTCTGTGATTTTTAGCATGTATAGATTTAAAACACTTTTCACATAACTGGCATCATCCCAGTTTATTCATATACGGAAATTGTAAACTACCCTTGATTTACCCTCAACACAAAATACAGCTTTGAATTTGTTTTTCTGAATTCTATGTAGGTCTTTTGAAGTAATGCTTCTTTATTAGAAGTTTTGTTTGCTTGTTTAATTTTTTTTATATTTTTGGCTAAGTATGTTCCAACAATTATAGAATTTCTTTTTTCAGTATGTTATGGTCTCTAATTTCTTGCTTTGCAAAAACTCTTTATTGGCTTTTATTACTATGGCTTGAGGGGAAATTTTCTAGTAATATCCCAGACTTTCTTGTTGTTTCCTACTAAAGTGTGGAATGATTAACTAGAAAGATATTTCTTATTCTCTTTATAACTTTATCTTTGCCATGTATTTTTTTCATGTATTTGGTCCAAACTACGATTAATTGCCTCATTCCTAAAACTATTTTATAGTTTAATCTAGCTGCTTTAGTATGATGTGCTTTATAGAACTAGTTTTAGATTAATATTGCCTGGTTTGGGTTTACTTCAGGTTTTTCCTCTTACAGTTTTTGCTTTATATTTGCTGCCTTCCTGTTACAGTATTCTAGTTACAATCTAACTGCTGGGAAGAGATTGGCGCTGCAAATAGATACAGAATCCATGGCAATATGCAGTTTGGCTTTTTATAATAACTTTTCAAGTCACATGTAGCTAACTACTTTATATATATATTTGTACATTTTTACTATTTTTCTAAACTATAAATTGACAAGTTATAATTGCATGTATTTATGAGGTACAAAGTGGTTCAAATTTATGAATATAATGTGGAATGATTAAATCAAGCTAGTTAACATATTCATCACCTTAAATACTTATTTTTGTGGTGAGAACATTTGAAATTTACTGTCTTATGAATTTTGAAATGTATAATACACCATTATTAACTATATTCACCGTGCTATACAATGTATCTCAGAAAAACAAAAACAAAAAAACCATTATTCCTCCTGAGAGTTTGTGCCCTTTAACCAACATCTCCCCATTTCTGCCATCCTCTAGCCACTAGTAACCACATTCCACTTTCTACTTCTATGAATTTAACTGTCTTAGATTCCACATATATGTGATGAACATGTGATATTTGTCCTTCCATGTCCGGCTTATTTCACTTAGCATAATGTCCTCCAAGTTCATCCATGTTGCACATGACAATTGTCTTCTTTTTTAAGTCTAAATAGTATTCCATTGTGTATATACACCACATTTTCTTTATCTCTTCATCTGTTAGTGGACGCATAGGTTGATTTCATAAATTGACTACTGCAAATAGTGCAGCAGTGAATGTGGGAGTGCAGATATCTGTTCCATGTGCTGTTTTCAAATCTTTTAGATAAATACCCAGAAGTGGGTTTGTTGGATCTATATTTTTACTATTTTTGTTAGCAGAAGTGTAACCATTTTGACATTTCTGAACAGTTCATAAACAGTTAAGAGACCTGCATTCTCAGTGGGAGGTCATTGTTATTAAAAACACATGCACTGACTGCATGATCATTTTATATCCTCCTTCCCATTTTTTTTTTTTTTTTTAAAGAGAAGAGCCAGGTGCGGTGGCTCACACCTATAATCCCAGCACTTTGGGAAGCCCAGGCCGGAGGATTGCCTGAAACCAGGAGTCTGAGACCAGCCTGGGCAAAGCAGTGAGACCCCCATTTCTATAAAAAAAAAAAAAATTAGCTGGACATGGTGGCGAGTACCTGTAGTCCTACGTACTTGAGAGGCTGAGGTGGGAGGATCACTTGAGCCCAGGAGTTTGAGGCTGCAGTGAGCTACAATTGGGCCATTGTACTCCAGCCTGGGCAATGGAATGAGACCTTGTGTCTGAAAAGAAAAAAATATTAATTTTGGCATCTGCAATTAGTATTCTTACGTTAATGAATATGGGACAGCCATAGTGTAGCAGTAGTCATGTTCAGTCACATGACAGATTTGGGGAAACTATTCACTGAGGAGGATGAAGTCATTCTCAATTTAGCAAATTACAGGAAAGATAAAGTTAATTTTTATAATTTTAGGTAAGATGATGTGGTAGTTTTTCCATTTTCAGAATATTTTATAATCTTTTTTTTTAATGAAATTTTATATTTCGTCCTTATGCGTGTTGATTCCTTTTAAATCATGAATGGATTCACAGAGGAGATTGCGAGTGATGAAGAGGAGATGAATGTGAATGCCCAAGCAATGCAGTCAAGTAATGGAAGAGGTGAAGATGAGGAGGAAGATGATGATGACTGGGATGACGAAGTAGTGGAAGAAACTGCCCTTGAGGGATTCAGCACCCCGCTTGACCTTGACAGTAGTGTGGATGAATACCAGTTTTTCACACAAGCTTTGCTGAGTATGTCTTTACTCTCTGAATCTTCATATATTTTTCCAAAATTCTTTTCTTCATTTCTTCCTGTTAGAAGTTGTTTTGGGATCTGTCTCAAATTGGTCTAGGTTCCTTTTTTTTAATTTTATTTGTTCTTTGTTATAGAAATCCCCAAACATATATGAAATGAGAGCGATTAAAATAATGCAACACCTATCACCCTATCCTACCAACCTTCATCATTGTAAAGTAGCAGGGTGAGCTTATAGATTATCCTCACAAGAGTAATTTTGGGCAAGAGTATCTGCATATATTCTTTATCCTCTAGGTACGAATGGACAAGCATTTTTTATAGAAAAGAATGAAAAACTTCAGGCATATGTTGCTTAAAAATTGTGGCCATAAACTTATTAGTAATTCACAGTCCCTGTGGGAAGGAACTGCTGCTCTGACTTTTTGCTACGTAAGCAATTTGTCAATTTTGTGTACAACAAGGGAAACTATAAATACAGTTGAAGGACTCATAAATGATTGGAAGAAAATATTTGCCACATACACTATTACAGGTTTAATGTACACAGTGTACAAAGGCCATCTACAAATGGATAGGACCAGTAACCCAGTTTAAAAATGGGAGATGTAAATGGAAAACTTACAGAATAAAAATAAATAAAAAGCCAATGAAAATATTTAGGAAATTATTAACCAGAAAAATTATTCAGAATCCCATTAATATAGATTATTTATTTTATGGTTAGATAGTACTTCTACAGTGATACCATAATTTATTTCAACTGTTGAATGTTTAAAATTATTTCCAATTTTTTGCTATTATAAACAATATTAAACATTCCTATGTATAAAACATTGTTGTTAACAAGGCAATACTAGTATATTGCTATTTTTTTAGTGTTGCTACAAATACCATTAATGATGAAAAAAACACCTTCATGTTTTTATTGAAATTTAGCAGGAATTAGAAGGCAGAGAGCATAGGGAATGGTATTCTAAAACATGTAGAAAGTATCAGCTTATGTAGGGTATGTTCTTAGGCAGTTGTTCCTGGACATGAGTGTGTGTCACAGTCACCAAAAAAGCTTTTTGATCTTGGGTGGGATCTCAGGAAGTTTATTTTAAAAATGCTCAAGTCAACATTAGGCAGCCAGCTTGGGACCAGCACTTAGGGTCCACTACTCAAAGTCTCTGTGAAGGTATCAAGTCGGACTGGATTTTAGTAACCTTGAATTCCAGACTGAGGAGGTCTTTATCCCATTGCTTCCTGGAGTAGTGTTGAAAGTTGTTCCGTGAGATGGTGACCTTGGGGATGCGGTAGTTCACATCAGGGGAGTTGCCAGGTGATGATGGATAATGTGCAGAAAGAGCTGAAGGGGGGGGGGGCGAGATGCAGGAACCAAGCGTGAGATGATCCCTTTATTAACTTAGAAGTATAAGGGACCTGGAGTCAGAGGGTGGCATTTGATGGAAAGAAGCCTATAGGTGAAAGACATAAAGAAGCAGAGTGGCCAGACATAGTGGCTTTGTAATCCCAGCACTTTGGGAGAGGAGGGAGGCAGGAGGATCCCTTGAAGCCATGAGTTCAAGACCAGCCTGGGCAACGTGACAAGACCCCGTCAGAACAACAACAACAAAAATTAGCTGGGCATGGTGGTCCCAGCTACTCGGGAGGCTGAGGCAGGAGGATTGCTTGAGCCTGGGAGTTTGAGGTTGCTGTGAGCTGTCACTGGACCTGGGCAATAGAGCGACATCCTGTCTATAAAAAAAAAGCAAAAGTTAGGGTGTTGAGAGGGGGGCATGGTCAAAGATGTTAAGGATTTATAGTGGTTGGCTGGGGGCCTAATAGAGTTGATGAGGGACATGAGATAAAGAGGGCTTGGGAGGAAAATGTCAAATGTGGCTTTTCTTTTTGAGACAGAGTCTCACTCTGTTGCCTGGGCTAGAGTGAGTGCCGTGGCGTCAGCCTAGCTCACAGCAACCTCAAACTCCTGGGCCCAAGCGATCCTCCTGCCTCAGCCTCCCGAGTAGCTGGGACTACAGGCACGCGCCACCATGCCTGGCCAATTTTTTCTATATATATCAGTTGGCCAATTAATTTCTTTCTATTTATAGTAGAGACGGGGTCTCGCTCTTGCTCAGGCTAGTTTCGAACTCCTGACCTTGAGCGATCCGCCCCCCTCGGCTTCCCAGAGTGCTAGGATTATAGGCGTGGCTTTATAATAATTGTGCCGTTTGAGGAGCAGTATTCAAATGGAGCAGTCCAGTAGGCTTAGGGGAAGGTTTTGTCTAAGTGTACAGATTTGAGTCCTTGGTGTAGGAGCAATGCTGAAGCTGCAAGTAGTATGAAAATTCCAGAGGAAAATGATTATAAGTGAGTAGAAGTGTTTACCAAGATCCAGATTTTAGGGAACATCCATAGAAAACAGTGAAGGAGGCAGAGAAGTAGGGAAAGCAGAGATTCACCCTGTCCTAACCTTCCTTTGACACCACATGTAGTTGGGCGCTAAATGGGTGCTCAGAGATAATCCTTTGTTGGATTATCTTGTGTTCGTTATAGTACTCTTTGTTTCTTAGTGTCTGTGATAATTTCATTGTAATTTGATCATGTTACCAGTTCTCGGAAATAATAATAGTCACTGTAATCTTCCTATGTTTCCTTCCTCCCCCTCTTTACCCCCAAAATGCAACAGCCGTGCAAAGTCGGGATGCTGCGTGGTACCAGTTGCTGATGGCACCGCTCAGTGATGATCAGAGGAGCACACTGCAGGAGGTGTACACACTGGCGGAGCACCGGAGGACAGTGGCAGGTCAGCTGGAGTCACCTCCCGATTGGATGCATGTGTCAATGCCAGTAGTCATTCTTACTTGATGAGCTGGGGTTGTCTAAATGCTGCTTTTAAAGTTGTTAGAGAACAGCCCTTAAAGGTAATAAGGAATTGCCATTATTGTAGGATTATTATTATTATTATTTTTTTTTCCTTAAGACACAGTGTCTCCACTGCTGCCCAGGCAGTGGCACGATCATAGCTCACTGCATTTTTGAACTCCTGGCTCAAGTGATCCTCCTTGAGCGCCCTAAATAGATAGGACTACATGCACATGCCACCACACCAGGACAATTTTTTAAGATTTTTTTGTAGAGATAGGGTCTTGCTATGTTGCCCACACTTGTCTTGAACTACTGGCCTCCAGTGATCCTCTTGCCTTGGCCTCCCAAAGTGTTGGGATTACAAGCGTGAACTACTTTGACTGGCCTGATTATTCTTTTTGGTCACTCGTGATATCTTAGCTCTGCAAAAACCTGTGTCTATCAGTGGTGTTCTCATTCACATCCTTATTGTATTTTGGAGCCAAAGGAACAAAGTAAAGGTTGGGATGCCTCTTGCTGAGGAAGACTTAATTAGCTGGACCACCCACCTAAGCATCTCAGCCACAGGTGGACCAAAGAGACATAATGAGTTCTTGGGAGGAGATCGTGTTCCTGGAAATGAAATGCCCTCCATTCCAATTTGTTGGGCTTTATGATTCTTTATGTTGGGCATTATTGATTCTTGTTGATTTTCAGTTTTTAAACTGGAGAAATTATTTTATGTTGATTATTATGGCCACTCCTAGATTATTAATGGAAAAGATTTTGTAGTTACAAAAATAGTTTAGTGGGAAACATCATGCTCTAGGCATCTAGAGTTTAGAACTCCAGTTCTTCTGCGTGGACTTAGATTTTCAGTTCTTCACACAGATCATGCCTCCTATCGTGAGAAATCTGGGTGCCCCTTCAGTAGAGACTGCGAAGCTAGTGGAATACAACTTTGAGACTGGTTTTCATTTCATTCATTTTTTGCAAAGTTTTTCCATGATAGTTAACATAACTACTACTTATTGACATGGGTCTACTAAAGGCTGACATTCAATTTGGCAGAATAGGTAATACCTACCACAAGTCACATTCCTTCAGAGTTCTAAGTATATAAAGAATTTGGTTCCTTTGACATTATCTCCAACGTTGTCACCTTAAATATTCTTTTTTTTTTTTCCTCTCCCCCTCCACCCACCCCTTTCTTTTGGAAAACGCTAGAGGCAAAGAAGAAGATTGAACAACAAGGAGGCTTCACATTTGAAAGCAAAGGTGTCCTCTCTGCATTTAACTTTGGGACTGTGCCCAGCAGCAACTGAAGGAGGGAACATCAGCCGACCAGAGATCATCGATCGCCACATTTTAATTTCACAAGGGGAGTTGTGAGAGGGTCAAGAGGGGGAGAAATGAGGGCCTGCCTTTCAGGGCTCTCCTGCTGTACTAGTTCCCATCTGGCATTTAGGCAGCACTTTTCTCCACTCTCCCTTTCCCCTTTGACCTTTTTCACCCCGAAATCTAGATATTGTATTAATAAACAGCTACTGTAATGTATGAAATGAAAGAAAAACAGGATCATTGGCTTGAAGAGGACAAACCATACACTTCAAAGGCTGGGTGCCCAAACGTGGTTTTAGAGGATTGGATGGACTTGCACGTCTCAGGTTTTTGCCATGCAGAATCAATGGATTTATGCGGATAACAGTGCCTTCTGTTGTACATGAATTATCAGAAAAAAATTTTTTGGAGTGCATTGCAATTTTTTTTTAAAAGCATAAAAACATATTTCTAGATATAATGTAAACCTTGGTTATACGTCGACTTATTCTGCATTTTACTCTGTGAATTTACTCTTAGGCAGTTAGCTGCGAGTCACTCTGGTTTCGAAAACATCACCGCTCCCTTTGCTCACCCTGCTGCTGGGGGGCCTGCGTCAGGGGCTGTGAATCATGCACTGGCTCTGGGTTTTTATAAGATGTTTTGTGGCTTTCTTCAGAAGTGTCTTATTCCCTCTTCCATCGTATTTTTCTGCCTTGAAAGGGGTGGTATTTCTTTTGGGGTCAAGAATTATGCATATCAGTTTCACTCATAACCTTGTAAGTTATGAGTGGTCCTGCCAACAGTTTCTTGGCAACAAGTGGCAGGGGGCTCTTTAGTCACTGGAGTTAACAGTAAGTCTGAGTATATTCTGAATCACCTACTTAGTTGTGCAGTTAATTCATAGTTATACCTAAAGCACATTGAACTTCTAGGAGAAAGGTGCTACATAGGCACACTGTCTTTCTTGATGGGGGCTTGCATTTTCAATAACTTATCATTCCAGCTGTGTCGGACCAGGGTCCAAAAGGATTTTTATAATGGTTTTTTTTTTTAATCTAGGAAAAAGACCCAAACAAATCTTACTGCTTTCTCACACATTTGAATTTTCTCCTGCCTAATTTGTTCTAGTCTTTATTATAGCTCAGTTTGACAACTTAAGTTTTTGAAGGGTTGTACAGACTCCATGTTAAGGAAGAAAAGTTTTTTCAAGGGTTGGGTCAGCTGCACTCTTCGACGGGTTATGATGTAAGATAGCCTATAGACAATATTGCAGATGGACATTACAGTTTTTCTGAACTGGTTCAAGACCAGAACATGGATCATAGTGTTTTCGTTCAGTGAAATGGAAATGTATTTTCAGAATTTAGCATATTACTGGATGTGACATAGCTTTTCATTTTTGTGAAATGGAAGATTCAGAAATTCACAGCTTAAATTTTCCATCAGTGACTGGAGGAATTTTTTTCAGGTGCTTCATATATTGCCATCCCTATTCATATATTAACTCTTTTTAGAATTTTAGATTAAGTAATTTTTACAGAAGTAGCCTGAAAAACCATGAGTTTTGGAGCTGAATGACCCCCTGCTTTCCTCTTTCCTTCCCTTCACAAGGTATTGAAGCTGGATGTGCCAACAGCAGTTACAAGAGAAAGATGGCATTGGGGGAAATTTTAGAGAGCTTTGAAACTCTTTTTATTCTCCTCATATTAATTTTAACAAATAGTATGCCTTCACACTGGATTGTAAAAGGCATCTGATTTTAGAGATTTTATTTTGTGACGTTTGTCTTCTACAGTATTAAAGGGAAAGACATATTAACGTGCATCACCCTCTCTTGTTTTTGAAGCCAGGGTAGTCGTATGATTTTGTTACCAGCAGTGCTAACCCAAATGTGACCTGGTTACTTTGGAAATGCAGGAACTTACATGAATGTACTGTACAATAAAATGCGTACTGATTCCCGGGATTCTGAAGTCTTCTGTGTGAAATGTTTTCAGAAATCTGAAGGTGCCTTGGGCAGGTGTTAAAACCCATCAGTATATTTTCCTGATTTCTGGGGACCTGGAGCAAGGTGACTGTTGGTCTGGGAGGGTAATAAGGTCTAAATCAGGAACAGCTAAAGCATGGGGAGAATGGTAGGAACCAGAGCCCATCTCAAGGCTCTGAAAAGGCAACATTGTTCAGCCATTTCAGGATCTTGGAGGAAAGGGAAAAGTCACTAAAATGAGCCATTTTCTGATGGGCTACTATCAAATTAGGGGGAGTCAAAACTGAACTGGTAAATGCTGGCCTTCTGATTCTCAATACAGTCGTGTGTTGCTTAACAGGGATACATTTTTGAGAAATGCTTTTTTAGGCAATTTTGTCATCATACAAATGTCATAGAGTGTACATACATGAACCTAGATGGGATAGCCCACTACACACCTAGGCTATACGATATAGCCTATTGCTCCTTAGGGTATAAACCTGTACAGCATGTTTACTGAATGCTGTAGGCAGTTGTAACACAATGGTGAATATTTGTGTATCAAAACACATCTAAACATTAAAAATGTGCAGTGAAAATACAGTATAAAAAGTAAAAAATGGTACCTCTGTATAGGGCACTTAACATGATGGAGCTTACAGGACTGGGGATTGCTGTGGGTGAGTCAGTGGTGAGTGAATGTGAAGGTCTAGGATACTACACTATTGCAGACTTCATAAACACTGTTCACTTAGGCTACACTATGTTTATAACAATCTTTTTAATAAACTGACCTTAGCTTATTGTAACTTTTTTACTTTATAAACTTTTTTTTTTAACATTTTGACTCTTAAAAAACACTTAGCTTAGGCTGGGCGCGGTGGCTCACGCCTGTAATCCTAGCACTCTGGGAGGCCGAGGCGGGCGGATTGCTCGAGATCGGGAGTTCGAAACCAACCTGAGCGAGACCCCATCTCTACTAAAAATAGAAAGAAATTAATTGACCAACTAAAAGTATATATATAAAAAATTAGCCAGGCATGGTGGTGCATGCCTGTAGTACCAGCTACTTGGGAGGCTGGGGCAGGAGGATTGCTTGAGCCCAGGAGTTTGAGGTTGCTGTGAGCTAGGCTGACGCCACGGCACTCACTCTAGCTTGGGCAACAAAAGTGAGACTCTGTATCAAAAAAAAAAAAAAAAAGAACAAAAAACACTTAGCTTAATCATTCTACAGCTGTACAAAAATATTTTCCTTTATATCCTTACCCTATAAGCTTTTTTGTACATGAATGTTCATAGCAGCTTTAGTCAGAATAGCCAAAAACTTAACCCAAATGCCCATCACTAGGTGGATATATATATTTAATTTCAAAGTATTACAGGGGTAGAAATGTTTCGGTTACATGTATCAATTTTGTAATGCTTCAGTCAGGGCTATAAGCGTGCCCATTACCCAGATAGTGTTCATTGTAACTGTTAGGTAAGTTTTCCTCCCTCCCCCTGCTTGATTTCCACTAAATTTTTCTTTCCTCCATGAACGTGTGTGCTCATTGGATAGTTTCAGTTTAATAGCGAGTATATGTGGTGTGTGTTTCCCATTCTTTAGATACTTCACTTAGGATAATGGTCCCCAGTTCCATTCAGATTGTTGCAAAAAGCCTTAATTCATCCTCCTCCATGGTGGCATTGTATTCCACAGTGTACATTATACCACATTTTGTTAATCCACTTATGAATTTGGTGGGTGCCTGGGGTTGATTCCACATCTTTGCAATTGTGAATTGTGCTACAATAAACATTTGAGTGCAGGTGTCTTTTTGATAAAATGACTTCTTTTCCTTTAGGTAAATACCTAATAGTGGGATTGCTGGATGAAATGGTAGGTCTACTTTTAGTTCTTTGAGAAATCTCCATATTGTTTTCCATAGTAGTTGTACTAATTTGCAGTCCCACCAACAGTATATGAGCGTTCCTCTCTCTCTGCATTTATTGTTTTTGGAGTTTTTAATAAAAGCTGTTTTAACTGGGTAAGGTGATCTCCTTGTGCTTTTATTTGCATTTTCCTGATAATTAATGATGAGCATTTTTTTTTTTTTGAGATAGTCTCGCTCTGTCACCTGGGCTAGAGTGCTGTGGCATCGGCCTAGCTCACAACACCCCCAAATTCCCGGGATCCCATGATTCTCCTGCCTCAGCCTCCTGTGTAGCTGGGATTACAGGCACACGCCACCACGTCTCTGGCTAATTTTTCTATTTTCAGTAGAGATGGGGGTTTCACTCTTGCTCAGGCTCCTGACCTCAAACAATCCTCCTGCTTCAGCCTCCCAGAGTGCTGGGATTACAGGCATGAGCCACCACATTGGGCAGAGCATTTTTTCATATGTTTATTGGCCATTTGTCTATTGTCTCCTGAAAAGTTTATCTTTTGCCCACTTTTTAATGAGGTGGGGTTGGTTTCTTGCTGATTTGCTTGAGTTATTTGTATATTCTGTTCATTAGCTCTTTATTGTATGTATAGCTTGTGAATATTTTCTCCCATTCTGTAGGTTGTCTATTTGCTCTCTTGATTATTTCTTTAGCTGTGCAGAAGATTTCTAATTTAATCAAGTCCCATTAAGTTTTGTTTTTGCTATGATTGCCATTGGAGTCTTCTTCATAAATTCTTTGCCTAGGATGATATCTAGAAGAGTTTTTCCAACATTTTCTTCTAGAATTCTTAGGGTTTCATGCCTTACATTTAAGTCTTTTATCCATCTTGAATTAATTTTTGTGAGTGGTGAGAGATATGGATCCTGTTTCAATCTTATCTCTGTGGCTATCCAATTTTCCCAGCACCATTCATTAAATAGAGCTTCTTTCCCCCAGTGTATATCGTTGTCTGCTTTGCCAAAGGACAGTTTTTTATCTGGGTTCTCTGTTCTGTTCCATTGGTCTATGTCTCTATTTTTGTGCTAATACCATGCTATTTTGGTTACTATAGCCTTGTAGTATAGTTTGAAGACAGGCCACCTCTTGATGAGAGATATCTTGCCAAGGAACCTGGGAAGACAGATTTCACTGTCTGCTAAAATTGTCCATCTTGTGGGTATAGAAATCATCCTGGGGTCTGAGGCTTTAATCAGCACATGAAAAACAGCTTTTTTTTTTTTTTTTTTTTTTGAGACAGAGTCTCGCTTTGTTGCCCAGGCTAGAGTGAGTGCCTGGGCTCAGCCTAGCTCACAGCAACCTCAAACTCCTGGGCTCCGAGCGATCCTCCTGCCTCAGCCTCCCGAGTAGCTGGGACTACAGGCATGTGCCACCATGCCCGGCTAATTTTTTTTATATATATATCAGTTGGCCAATTAATTTCTTTCTATTTATAGTAGAGGCGGGTCTCGCTCTTGCTCAGGCTGGTTTGAACTCCTGACCTTGAGCAATCCGCCCGCCTCGCCTCCCAGAGAGCTAGGATTACAGGCGTGAGCCACCGCGCCCGGCCTAAAAACAGCTTTCTGATTTCAAGGAAGCTACCTTTAACTTTTCCCACTTCCTAAGGTAGAAGTCTGTTGGCAAATAAAAGTACACATGCTTTCTAACATCACTTCTGTCTCTTGTTGCTATTTATTTACCTTTGAAAGTGACCTGCTTAAAGATACATACTCCATTTGAAAGAGCAGTGATTTTGTGTAAAATATAGCACGAAGCTCAGGAAGTTCCAATAAATGTTTTCTCTAGTAATTTGTGAAAATGTAGAAATCCGTGAGAAATATTAGGGGAAAGGCATGATAAAGAGGAGAGTGGAAAGGTTATTAAAAATAGAAATTGAACAGAAGACAAAGGTAAGCTATATTTTCCAGTATGAGTGTGAAGACACTGATTTCTCATTTTGACAAGTGAGGCAGGAGAAGCCTTTAATTCTGTTTATTTGAGGAGTACAGAATGGATTATTTGTGTTATCAGAAATCCTATCTGTCTTCTAAACTAGGATTACATACTCTCTCCTACCCTTTGCAATATGAGTAAGGACAACATACCCTGTATTGCTAGGAAAACAATCAGACGGACATTGCCAACTGGAGAGGCAATGTGTGGACGCTGGATTTGAGGCAGAACTAGGCAATCTCCCAAAGTCCTCCATGTCAAGATTCTATGATAGGCTAAAAACGGAGAGTGAATATGATACCTGAATTTCCTAAAATGGTCTTGATTGTCTACTTTCAAACTAAGCTGTCCCTTAAAACAGATAGGACAGTCTGTAGCTTAGACTCAGTTTGAGTATGTTTGCAGATGTTAGGCCATTGTTCTCTGGGACTATCAGTTGTTATTTTTAGCAGCGTTTATTTTTTTAATATGTAAAATTTTCTACAAATGAAAAGGCATGATCTAATTTATAGGTTATATTTATAGGACCGTAAAACCTTATTTGCAACCATGGCTGATTTAATTTTTCACATATTCAGACATTATCTTGAGTTATACTTTTGAATGTGCTCATTTGTAGTAATGGCTATGTCTTTTTTTTTTTTTTTGAGACAGAGTCTTGCTTTGTTGCCCAGGCTAGAGTGAGTGCCGTGGTGTCAGCCTAGCTCACAGCAACCTCAAACTCCTGGGCTCAAGGAATCCTCCTGCCTCAGCCTCCTGAGTAGCTGGGACTACAGGCATTCGCCACCATGCCGGCAATTTTTTTCTATATATTTTTAGTTGGCCAATTAATTTCTTTCTATTTATAGTAGAGATGGGGTCTTGCTCTTGCTCAGGCTGGTTTCTAACTCCTGACCTTGAGCGATCTGCCCCCCTCGGCTTCCCAGAGTGCTCCGTTTACAGGTGTGAGCCACCGCGCCCAGCCTACCGGCCTAATGGCTGTGTCTGTTACTTACTTAGTGGGTCAGCTGCTGACTCCTGCAGTTGAGATAGTTCTTCAGTAGATTAGTGTAGAGTGCACGACACACCCGCACTGCTGCAAAGCTGTTTCTCAGAATCATTCAAGAGTACTCACAAGCCTGGGCATGACTGTCTGCTCTTGGGTTC